GAGGAGGAGGAGGAGGAGGAGGGGGGAGGGGGAGGAGGAGGAGGAGGAGGCGAGGGAGTAGGAGGGCGAGGAGGAGGCGGACGACGACGCCGCCGTCCTTGTGAACGTACGCCAGCTTCACCGCGGAGGCGTGGCCTCGGCCCCCGCGCGCGCGCGCGGCGCGCCCCCGCCCTGCCGCCTCTCGGCGGGCCGAGCGCATGCCCCGGGCCCTTGGAGGCGAGGCGCACGGCTGGCCTCTCGCCGCCAGCCACGCACCGGCGATGCATCGGCGATGCGTCGGCGACGCCTCGGCGACGTCGGTGTGGAGAGCATCGGGCTCCGCACCGGGCCCCATGGCCGAGGCATCGCCGCTGCGGAGCGATCGGCCGAGCGCATCTGCGCGGACCCCGTCTGGGAGGCCAGCCCCAAACACCCTGAGCACCAAGATGCTGCCATCGCTTTGGGGCTCATGCTTTACGTCCTCCGGCCCCCGCCGGCCTTCCGCCGGCTCCCGTCGGCGGAAGCGGCCTCGTTCTAATTCCGCGGGCTTCCGCCGACCTTCGCGCCGCCTTCCGTCGAGGCTCTGACCCTCGAAGGCGGGGGGCCCTCTCTGGCCCTCCTCCGTCCTCCTCCCTCCTCCTTGCTCCTTTTCCTCCTCCTCCTCCTCCTCCGCCTCCTCCTCCTCCTCCTCCTCCTCCTCCTCCTCCTCCTCCTCCTCCTCCCGTCGGGGGGGGCGGCCTCGTGTTACTTCGGCGGGCTCCCGCCGCCCTTCCCGCCGCCTTCCGCCGAGGCGGCTGCGACATCCTCGAGGGTGGGGGCGGCCCTTTGTTCTGAAACGCCTCCTCACGAGGCGCCCGCCCCGCAAAAGGACGCCCCCCCCCTTGCAGGGGAGAACCCAGACGTGCTCGCATCGTGACAGACCTCCTCCTCTTCCCTTCTTCCTCCCCCTCCTCCTCTCCTCCTCATAATCCTCCTCCTCCTCCTCCTCCTCATCCTCCTCACCCTCCTACTCACCTCCTCCCTCCTCCGCTCTCCTCCCCTCATCCTCTCCTCATCCTCCTCCTCCTCCTCTCATCCTCATCTCCTCCTCCCTCCTCGTCCTCCCCTCTCCTCCTCCTCTACCTCCTCCTCCTCCCTCATCCTACTCCCTCCTCCTCCTATCCTCCTTCCTCCCCTCCCTCCTCCTCCTCCTCCTCATTCCTCCTCCCCTCCTCCTCCTCCTCTCCTCCTCCTCCTCCTCCTCCTCCTCCCTATCCCTACCTCCCTCTCCTCCTCCTCCTACTCCTCCTTCCCCTCCTCCTAACTCTACCTCCTCTGCCTTCCTCCTCCTCCTCTCCTCCTCCTCCTCATCCTTCCTTTCCTCATTCCTCTCCTTACTCCCTCCTCTTGCCTCCTCCTTTGCCTCTCCTTTGGCTCCTCCTCTCCTCCTCCTTCCCCTCCTCCTCCTCCTCCTCCTCCTCCTCCTCCTCCCCTCCTCCGTTTCCCCTCCTCCCTGTGCCTCCTCCTCCTCCTCCTCCTCCTCCTCCTCCTCCTCCTCCTCCTCCTTTTCCTCGTGTGGTCTTCAGAGGCTGCCTGGCTGCGCTGGAGCTGCGTCCCGTGCCTCTCGTCCAAAACAAAAACACGACGGTCTGGGCTGTTCTCTGGCGCTCCCGGAGCCTTCGCCGGGCCAGGAGGGCCGCCGCAAAGTCGGCTCGGGAGGAGAAAAGCCGGCCCTGGGGAACTGGTCGGGCCTTCTGGGGACCCCCTGCCGACCACAAGCAAGACATCGGAGGTCTGAGGGGAGGGGGGGTGGAGCACAAGATGAGCTGGGGCAGGATGGGATGGGCAGGGGGGGGCGATCGGAGGTGTCGGAGGTCTTCGTCGGCTCGTTTTCAAGTCTTGCCCCGCCCCAGGGTGCCTCTCAGGCAACCGCGCCTCGCCGAGAGCGACCCTGGGGTACCCAGATCGGTCCCGAGCGGGCCGCCTGCCGTCTCGAGCCACTCGAGTAGGCTCGGGGTGGCGCGAGTCAGGGGCAGTGACGACCGGAAGGACAAGGCCGGCTGGGAATGAGCGAGGAGGAGCAGCAGCAGGGAGATGGTGACACCGACGAGGCCAAGAAGGAGGAGCAAGGAGGGCGAGCTGGAGCCGGAGCAGAGGACAATGCGGCGGAGGAGCAGAAAGCGAAGGAGACGACGACGATAGAGGGGCGCGAGGGCGAGTCCCTCTCCTCCGTTCGGCGGGCCGTCAGGGTGGGGTTGGGGCAGAGGTGGGGCTAGAGAGAAAACCGCTCCAAACGGAGCATTCGACTGGGTTCGCTCCTTAACACCACCTTGGGACGCCCCCCCTCTACGGACCCCCGACCCGTCTCGTAGCTCGTCCCGCACTGCCCGGTCGGGCGGGCGCCTGGGCGAGGACCGCTGCCCATGGGGGGAGGGGGTGGGGGGCGGCATCTGGCCCCGCCTCGCCCCGACCGTCGCCCCCTCCGCGCACACCGCGGGCGTGATGCCCACCACCGGTCGGGGACACCTCGCTGCCAGGCGCCTTCGGGCACGGTCCTTCCGGCACCCGACACCGCGCATGGAGACACCCGACGGCCCCGCCCGAGCCGCCGGTCAACGGCACCGCGTGGCCGGGTCGCATGGCCTCCTCCAGGCCCCTCCACCCTCCGTCCTCCTGCGGAACAGACGTGCGGCGCCGGGATCTCAGGGATGCTCCTGCCGCTGCTCCTCCTCCTGGCCGAGCTGACGCTCCCTCCGTCTCCTCTCCTGCTCCAACTTTCACCTATTTCGGTCAGTTTGTTGTGCGGGGCAGAGGTTCACGACGCCACCGCCAAAGCATACAATGCGAAAATTGGGTTTCGCTGGCGAGCGATCAGTTTGCCAGCCCCTTGCCCAAGCTCGACCTCGCACCGAAAACACTTCGTGGTTCACAAAAGGCGCCGTCGCCAAAATGAAGATCATCAATTCCAAATAGCTTCAGCATTTCGCATCCGTGGCATCCCGAGGCAGCAGCGTCGCCAAATACCAGCCTGCGGAAAGGAATATCTGGACAGTACTGTTTTTCCAGCCAGCCACGCACATCGCACTAAGCGGCTCGCATTTCGAATCAAATCGCCATGACACTAACACTGCGAGACAAAATGGGAACGAGGAGGAAGGAGGAGGAGGAGGCGAGGAAAAGAGGAGGAGGAGGACGAGAGGAGGAAGAGGAGGAGGAGGAGGAGGAGGAGGAGGAAGAGGAGAGCAGTTCTTAACCGTAAGTGCGATACCAGCCTAAAGTACCAGACTAAAGTACGAGACTGAAGTAGCAGACTATCGGTACCAGACTAAAGTACCAGACTAAAATACCAGACTGAAGCAACAGACTTCTAGTCTGGTGCTTTAGTCTGGTGCTTTAGTCTGGTACTTCAATGTGGTACTTTAGTCTGGTACCGCTAATCTGGTACCGGTAGTCTGGTGCTTTAGTCTGGTACTTTGGTCTGGTACTTCAGTATGGTACCGCTAGTCTGATACTTTACTCTGGTACCGCTAGCCTGGCACTTTAATATGGTACCGCTAGTCTGGTACTTGAATATGGTACTTTAGTCTGGTAACGCTAGTCTGGTACTTCAATCTGGTACCGTTATTGTGGTACTTTAATCTGGTACCGCTTGTCTGGTACGTTAGCCTGCTACCGCTAGTCCGGTACCGGTAATATGGTACTTTAGTCTGCTACTCTAGTCTGGTACCGCTAGTCTGGTACTTTAGTCTAGGACAGCTGGTCTGGTACGTTAGTCTGGTGCCGCCTAGCTGGTGCCGCTAGTCTGGTGCCGCGAATCTGGTACCGTTAATATGGTACTTTAGTCTGGTATGTTAGTCTTGTATCTTAATATGATACCGCTAGTCTGGTACCGCTAGTATTGTACCGCTATTATGGTGCCACTAGTCTGGTACTTTAATCTGGTATCGCTAATCCGGTACCGCTAGTGTGGTATTTCAGTCTGCTACCGCTAGTCTGGTACTGGTAGTCTGTAACTTGAGCATGTTACTTTAATTTGATAAGCTGGTACCGCTAACCTGGTACCGCTAGTCTGGTACCGCTAGTCTGGTACTGCTAGTCTGGTACTTTAGTCTGGTACCTAAGTCTGGATCTTGAATCTGGTACTTTAGTCTGGTACTTTAGACTGGTCCTCTAGTCTGGTACCACGCTTACGGTTAAGAACCCGCCGCGTACGGTTAAGACCTCCTCTCTCTCTCTCTCTCTCTCTCTCTCTCTCTCTAGGAGGAGGAGGAGGAGGAGGAGGAGGAGGAGGAGGAGGAGGGGGAGGAGGAGGAGGAAGGTCTTGACGAAACAGGGGCCGCGGCGGCGAGGGGCTGCGGGGGGGGGGCGGCGTCTGAGGGGCTGGCGCAGGACCCGCGCACCGCCCACGAGCTGCAGAGCGTCGAACACGTCCTGCGGCCGTCGCCCTCGGCCTCGTCGTCGTCGCCGCCGTCGTCCCTCCTCTTCGTCGTCGTCGTCCTCCTCGTCCTCCTCCTCGGCCTTGGCAGAAGCCTCCTCCTCCTCCTCCTCCTCCTCGTTGTCCTCCTCGTTGTCCTCCTCCTCCTCCTCGGCGTTCTCCTCCTCCTCCTCCTCCTTCTTTCTCTCCTCCCTCCTCCTCCTCCTCCTCCTCTCCTTCCTCCTCCTCCTCCCCCCCTCATCCTCCTCCTTCCCCTCCTCCTCCTCCTCCTCCTCCTCCTCCTCCTCCTCCTCCTCCTCCTCGGCTTCGGCCTCGGCCTCGGCGTCCTCCTCGTCCTCCTGCTCCTCCTCGTCCTCGGCCTCCTCTTGTCCTTCCCTCGCACCACGGCCTTGCTGCTATCCCGCAACGTCGTCATCCCCCCAGCCTCCTCGTCGTCGCCCTTCCTCCGAATCGACTCAAACGCCCCAAGGGCCCTGGCCAGCCAGCCAGTCTCCGTCGCTTCCTCGGCCCCGTCGTCCTTGTCGGCCTCCTCGTGCTCGTCAGCCGCTTCGTCGCCGTCGCTTTCATCCCTTCCTTCCTCTGCCGCCTCTTCCAAGGCATCCTCCTCCTAGTCCTCCTAATCTGAAGGGGAACTGGAACACACAAATAAATACACACAAATACAACAAATCCCCATATGTTCTCATATTTTCTGAGTTTTTGTCTTCCCCCCACTTCCCATATTTTCCCATATTTTCTGGGGAATGGAGGATTAATTGTGTCTGTGTGTTTCTTTTCCTCCTGATAATCACCCCTTCGCTGCAATGACGCACCCACCCTCTTCGTCGACGTCCTCCGCCTCGTCAATGAGTGGTAAAATTTTCCTCCTGTTCGGCATCCTCCTGGTCCTTATTGTGTACATATTCTACTTGTCTCTATTATTTGTGTACATATCTTGCGCCTTCTCCTCCTCCTCCTCCTGTGCGTCCTCCTCGTCCTTGTCCTACTCGCTACCGTCGTCCTCTGCGTTTTCTTCCTGGCCCACGCCTCCTCAATCCCCCATATCCTCCTCGTCCGCCGCCTCTTTCCCATTCGTCTGTGCCGTCCACGCTCCTCCACAATCCGTTTTCGTTCCACGCAAACCCGCCCTGTTCCACCACCAGACGTGTCCGTAGGTCGAGCTGGGCGTTTCGCTTGAAACATGCTTGCGTCTACTCCTCCTGTAGTTGAAGTTCCAACACTTACACGGATGGAGGCCAGTTGTTGACAACATACTTTTACCGCTTGAACGCGGATCCAATGTTTAAACCTATTGCATCAAGTACAAGGTCATTCTTCTTTTGAAGCCCATTCATTTCAAAAAGCGGCTCTCGCCTTAGCGTAGCGAGAACTTGTCTGACAGCTTGCAACTTCAAAATGCGGCTTTCGGAATAGCGCATCGCACATTCGTCGTAAAGGCTGTCAACAAGTAGAAACATCGAGAGCCGCTGGCTTAAAACATGCGGCTTTCGCGATAATTCTTGCCACAACTGCGAGCCTGCTATCGTCAACGCGCCGCTCACATACTTTCTAAACATTCCAGATCGCTGCAAAGATGGAGGCCGTCTCACTTTTCGAGTGCAGCTCTCGCCTTGGGAGTGCTCTGAAAGATATGACCAGAATTCCTCCATCGTCTATCAGCCACACGCATGGAGTGCGGTTCTTGTTCACGATTGGACTCTGTGTCTGACTTACGCATAACTTTTCTCCACCGGAAGCCTTGAAATGATGAAACCCTTACGCGGATGGAAGGCATGTCCTTGCTAAAGCGGGAATGTCGCTGCGCTTCTTGAATCTGTAACATGTATCATCCTAGAGCGCGTTTCTTCATTTTCAGCGATAGCGGGCGTTAAAAGGGGGGGGGGGCGGAGGAGGGCGCATAACGTAACGCCCCCCCCCCGCCGTTTGGTTCCGGCACCACACGCGCCCTTGTCTCTATTTCCTGGGCAATCGGCCGTCATCGGCCCCGTCCGCCCCCACCCCAGATGACGTCACGTTCCGCGCCGGCAGCGTCCAGGAATGCTGAGGGATGACCGAGGCCAAATAGGAACAGCATGTCGGTGGCGATCTGCCCAACAGCGCCTGTGTACACCAGTGCGCGCGTGCACCACAGCGCGCGTGTACACCACAGCGCCTGCGTACACCGCAACAGCCGTGTGCACTGCAGCGCTCGTGTACACAACACTTCTTGCGTGCACCACACCGCCGGTGTACACCACAGCGCCTGTGTACACCACAACAACAATGTGCAACACAACGCCTGTCTACACTCCCTAAATCCTTGCGTGCATTGCAGCATCTGTGTACACCACAGCGCCGGTCTACACCTCAGCATCCGCGCGCAACGCACAGCTGGTGTACAACACAGCGTCTGCGTGCACATGACAGGTAGACAGAGCATGTCGGTGAGGATCTACTGCGGGGGGCTATACACCACGCCCAAGAAATGCTGATAATAAAATCTGGCGTTTTTCCCTCCTCTTTCCTTCTCTTCCTCCGCCTCCTGGTCTTCCTCCGCCTCCTTTACTATGTCCTACTCGCCCTCCTCTGTTTGTCTTTTCTCCTCCTCATCATCATCATTCTCGTCATTTCCCTCGTGCGTGTTACCATCCTCCTCGCATTTCCTCCTCCTTATCACCATCATCCCCCTCCACCTTTTCCTCATCCTCCTCTTCCTCCTCTCGTCGTCCTCCTCCTCCCTCACCCTTCCCCCCTGTCGTGCGGGTCGGCGCTACAGCGCACGTGCGCGTCTCAGCGTCCAATGGTCTATTGAATCAGTCAACTTGGTTCTGGGACGGCCAAGTCTGCTGGAGCCCCCTGGACGCAGATGGGAGGACTCAGGATGATGCGGGAGAACCCGGGAGGACACGTAGATTCCAGCGGCGCTCCTTTGTCCATAAGGACTCTTCTTCTACATCCTATATGACAAAAACATTTGTTTTCCGTGGAATCCACAGGCACTCCATTTAGTCATAAGGACTACCTCTAAACTTCTAAATCCAACAGTGGTGCTCTGTTGCACACGGTTGCTGTGGTGTGCACAGGCGCCGTGGTGCACATAGGCGCTGCAATGCACGCAGGCATTGTGGTGTACACTGATGCTGTGTTGCACACGGCTGGTGTAGTGTACGCAGGCGCTGTGGTGTACACAAACACTGTGGCGCCCGCAGGCACTGTGGCACACACT